CCCTCAAGGTATTGCTATTCTCATTATTGGTCCTGAGGGGGTTATCTATCCTGGATTCCATGTGTTGAGAGCTCTTACCTGTACCAGGGTACACGATCTGGTCTAGCCGGATGTGTACGGTAAAACTCAGGTCATGATAGTGGGGGACAGGAAGCATTAAAGAACTAGAGGGAAGCTGTGTGTTTTGTCAGTGCTGTACTATCCTGCACCACCAGGGCTCCTGAAGCCAGAGGAGCACAGTGGCATTGTCAGTCTCTTGTACTAGATGGCAATTGCACCAGGGGGCAGCACAGTACACAGCAAGGCACCCTATGCTGGGCAGGCAGAAATGGTAAGTGCCTAGACTTCCCTTTGCTATCAAAATTATAAGTGAAGGAACACAGACTATATAATCGTCTACCAATCGCCAAGGAGTGCCTCTAGAATCCTCCTCGGTGCTGCTGCATCTACATATTGGGAGAAGGGATGGAGGCAGCCAGCCAGCAAGTGTGGGGTCAAAGAGTGGGAGCACTCTGGCTGAGTTTGAATGTTGGCTCTGTATACACTAGTTATGTGACGGGGAAGTGACTGAAGGCCGTCCAGCCTTATAAAACAGGGATAATAGCTCTAAAGTAAATTCCCTACCATTGAGTCAAGACAATTTCGCCTTACAGCAACCTTAGGGACAGGGTAGAACTGGCCCTGTGGGTTTCTGAGACTGTCACTCTTTAAGAGAGCGGAAAGGCTTGTCTTTCTCCCTGGAGGGATAAAACTTTCCCAAAAGTTCATGAGAAAAGTCTATTATCTTTTCACCCCAATTTTCCAAGAACTTTTTGAAGTCTCCTTATATCTGCTCTTTAGCAATCAGGGGTCGGTGGGTTCCTATGGGCTGTGCAGATTCTGTGCAGAATCTGTCAGATGGCTCAGGAATTTTCTGGGAATTCAAGCCCAGCCCTGGAGTTACTTCCAGTAGAAGTCATGAGACAACAAGGGGCGGTGACAGTCACAGGATCCTTGCAGGGTAACTACAAATCCCTGGATGGTGTAGATAGTTAAGTACTTGCTTTAACCGAAAGGGTGGTGGTTCCGAGGTGCCTCAGAAGAAACACCTGACCACCTTGAAGGTCCCACACCTTGAAGGTCCCACACCTGGAAACCTCTGGAGTGCATGAACTCACCACGAGTTGGAACTGACCCGCTGGTGGTGGGGCCTGTGGATTATAAAACCTAGACAAACAGCCACTGTGACGCATCTACACTACTTAATTCAGGTGCTTCCTCGCCTGCGGTGACCTCTCCTAGCGCCTCAGGATGCGGATTACTACCGGTGAGTCGGTGGTATGCTACTAGGGTAAGGCAGAGTTGTTCTCTTGGGAGGAGGGAGAAAGAGACCTCTTATGAGAGGGGCTTCACGAAGTTCATGGGAAAATGGAATTAAAAGATAGCGGAAATTTCCCATGACTTTTAAAAAGACAACCCCCCCCCTTGTATAAAATGTGAGAATGCTTGCTAACAAATGTTGTTGTTTTTTAATTTTTTTGCCAACGAATATTTTTAAAAGCACCTCTCTCCTTGCGGTGACCCAATATCCTTGTAGTAGGGCAAAGCTGACATCCCACTGGGAGGAAATACAAACGTGCAAATACGCTGGGATACACAGGGAATCTCTCTTGAAGGACATATGTGGAGTAGGAGAAAGTCTTGGTTGCTTAAGTGAGTAAGCTTGCCTTTCAATACATCTCCTTTTGTACTGGTTCAGTTTTTTTCTATCTAAATGTACAATCATTTCAATATATAATGAATATTACTATCTGTTGCTCTCATACATGAAATGTATTATATAATTTCACATAATTATATATGATTATATACTGTATGATAAATATGATTACTATTTGCTGCTATTGTTAGGGGCCACCAGGAAAACATGAGCAGATTGGACTGACTAAAGATTGCTCTTGCAGGATGGCTGCGGCAGTGAACAGACTGCTAAGTATGAATCAAGCAGGCACGAGTGACAGCGGTGGGGAAGAAGAAGTGCTGCGGGGGATTCTGTGACGACAACAGCTCCTGATCCAGCATCAGCGCTGCCATTTTATCTTCTCTTCACACTCTCACGGTCTACCCAGAGGCACCTTGGGAGAAAGGGCTGGTGAGCTACTGCGGAGACAGCAACTCCTGCAAGTCCGCGGGGCGCAGTGCTGCGGCGATACACATGGGGCTTACGGGCCAAAGTTGACGGGGCATTTTAATAAGAGCCGAGAGCTAGCGCGAAGCTCAAAGGCATGGGTAGGAATGCCCCTCTGGCAGCCAGACAGGCGCGTGTCCCAGCGCCCGGGACTCACCTGCAAGATCATAGAGCTCTGTGTCAGAGGCGCCGGCCAGAGCTTCTTCCAGTTCTGGGTCGAGGGTCACTTTTTCTTCTTTGAGAGGTTCCACGGGCTTTTCCTTGGGGATAAAGACTCT